GGAGGTGGGAGCAGACATGACCGACTGACGTGCTTGCAGCCCACCCCGGGCAATGCCTGCCCACCCCTATGTGGCACAGCGCAGCTGACAAAATGCTCCTTTTGCTAAACCTCCCATGGCTACAGCAAGCCACCTCCTTGTCCTCCACCTCGTCATTGTCCACGCAGGTCACGCATCTCCTGCCTGACAAACTGAAGACAAGAACTGCCCCATGCCCTGGGTAGCGATGGGTCCCCAGGGCACTGTCCCTTCGCCTCAGGCACAGGAGGGGACCGGGACCGGCTGTCGCCTGCCCAGCTGGTCTCCCCCTCCCCGTAGGGAAGAGCCCTGGAAAAGCTGCAGGTAAATCGAGTCTGTGCCATTTGGATGACGATTTTATTATTTTTCTCTCCAATTTTCTCTGATAATATCTCACCATTGCCTTAACCTGGGCTTCATGACAAAAATGGTTAAGGATGGCTCACAGAGAAATCTAACCAGAGGATTTTTTTCAGGCAAACTCCTGGAACACTGACACAGTCTGGAGTGGGCAATGAGGAGGTAAGAAAGCGTTTAGCGTTCACCTGGCAGCCAGATGTTTTACTGTTGTTTCCTGCTCCTCCCTCTTTCTGACTGATCCTCTCCCTGCAGCTGTGTCCAGATGACGTGAGGTGTGCCTTGGTTTGTGTCTCGAGTGAGAGTTGCAATCCTCTGCGCAACTAAACAGCTGGGGTAAGTGTCCCTGCCGACAGAATTCGTTCTTGCCTGGTACTGAACACCTGAGTAGGTTGACGATGGTGTTTCATGCCTGGCCATGCAAACTGGGAGGTGAGGAAGGAGAAGCTCAGATGACCGATTCCTCTGAATGCACATTGAGCTAAAGTCAGTGATCGAAGCCCGTTGACGGTTTCCCTGCCTTTTGTAATGGGTTATGAATAAACGAGGGGTGCCGCAGGGCCGGGTAGGAGGAGAGGTGGATGGCAATGAGGGAACGGGCCGGCAAGTGCAAGCCCTGTGCAACGTCCTCCCCTGGGACACGTCTGAGCATGGCCCTCAGTGCCATGAACCAAGTTGACCTCTCTCAAGATACAGTTTAGGGCTGAACAATAATCAGAGGTTTCAACGGAGGTCCGATGGCCAGTCAAGCAGGGGTAGAGCCTTCGGAGCCCAGGGAGTCCCGTATGCAGCCATCAGGGGCTGAGCTTCCTTCTGCGGCGTGAAGGCCATGACCTGGGTTGTGCTGTCACTCCAGGATTGAGTTCATTTAGCAGTCCTGAAATTCAGGAGATGTGTCAGAGAAAAATGGGGACCGGGGGGAAATTATACAAATGGAACAGACTCCAGCGTGGTTTTTCTGAGTTTTTCGTAGGGGAAGAGGACAGTGGTCATCACAGGACAAATTTAACCTCCCTTTTCCTCTCAAACTGATAACACAATCCATATGAAAATTACCCCAGAATGATGACTTTCACACTTGCAACCTGGATATTGTGAAGCCAGCGAATGAAAAAAATATTGCACACTTCATGCCACAGTATTATTTGTAGCATCTCTCTTTTCCCTCTCTTCCAAAATATGTACTGACATGTTTAAAGTACGTCACAGAGTACTTCATTTTTCTGTAGAGACTCAAATATCTTAATGTCTGGTTCACCATTGTTATGTACTGCTGAGCTGGCTGAAAAACAAGTCTGTTTTTCCCTCTGGATTGAAATAAGGCAGACGGAGGATGCCAGGTTCTGCTGATTAGAGAGTCAGGCTTTTCTTAGTCTTGAAAGGTTATTTATCCTTGTAGATCGAAAAACTCTTCCATTGTGAATCTTTTAAATAATGCTTTATATAAATGATGACATACAACAATACCGTAATTTGTAGGGTATGCAATGGATTCACTTTATTATAGCCAAGATCATGGCATCAATAACACTGGTGAAGAAAGTTATCTCAGAAAGAAAACAGGAAAATATCAGAACACCAGTGATTTTAGGGATGATAAGCAAGCCATTCCAATTCAACAAGGTTCATCTAACAACTCATTTGATTCAGTGACATGCCCAGTTATTTAGACTCATATGGATATATGGGTGGTTTTTGCATTTTCTAGCTTTTTCTGTGTACACGTACGTAAATCTAGAAAATTAGGTAGCTTTTCCAGAGGCTTTTAGAAAGCTGTCCTACTCCGATACTGTCTTATTTTGATATTATCCTAGTCTCGTTTGTTTCTATAAAGCACGTACTGCCACAGAAATGCTGAATTCGTTCCAAATTTCATTGCACTGGGAGGGGGCTTACGAGCACAGGCAAAGCCTCCAAAAGACAAATTTAGGCTATCATCACAGCAAGAACAGAAGGAATTCCTAAACCATTTGAAGAAATTTCTTTATTGTCTAAAACCAGCAAGCTCTGTGTGAAATCCAAGCCCACCTTCTGAAAACCAGGCATTAGCTCATGAAGGAATAGATGACGTCTCTTAAGGGAAGAACAAACTATCAGAATTTTAGCAAGCATGTTAAAATGAGGAAAATATTACTTAGGGATCAGATCTGATGGCTAAGACAACTGGGCTGTTTAAATATCAAACCGTTAAGAGTCTTCTGTCAAAACACTTCTTACCCAGGGCAGGAGCTTTGACAAGTTGGTGTATACTCCGTATTTCCCTGGCTTTCCACACCCTTCTCCCCAGCTGATGATACCGGTAACAAAATAAGTGCCATTGTACCGGGTTACATGGGGGCCTCCTCCATCTCCTTGGCAGACATCTTTTCCATCTTTATCATAACCAGCACAGAACATGTTTTCTGTGACCGCGTTACGAAGGGCGAGCTTGCAAGTGTCCCTGTCCACATAAGGGATTTGAAGCACTTTCATTCTTTTGACAGGCTCCGTGTGTTCAAACATGACCCCAAAGCCACTGACAATTCCAAATGCTTGGCTCATCAGAACATCGTTAGCAAAGTCTTCTTCTGGAAGGCATGCTGGGACAACATCCTCAGAAAATGTTATAGGTTCCTCTAACTTGAGAAGGGCTATGTCATTGTTGAAAGTTTCTGCATCAAATTCAGCATGTGCAATTACTTTTTCCACTCTGTGCATTGCTCTGCTTGGCTCTTCCTTTTCTTTGTCCACCATCCCTACGTCAGATTATTAAAGTAGTTGTTAATAAGACAATACGAACGAGTCTAAACTGCATCTCAATAACAGAAGGGACCAAAGTGCCTTGCACTTTGTATAGGCATTGCACAGTACAAACAAAATAGACCAGTCCTGTATCCTGATGCCGTAGCATTTTATACCCATTTTGGAGGGGTTTTAGAGGGCTGCCAAAATGTCAAGCGAGTAGAAAATCAGAACTTTGCTATCAGAATAATGCTCTCAACGAAAGCTTTGTTATAAAGTTTCGGGCTTCATTACAATATTCCCAATGGCACTTTTGTGATGTACAACCAAAAGCCTCAACACAGAAGAGGAGGAAATTGCCCCTCTCATTTGTAGAGCAACATGGTCAGGCAGACTTAAACAGGAAAGAGATATTGTCTTTTAAAGCTTCGATGTCCTGCATACAAAAATGTATGAATTTATATATATTTAGTCTTTCTCAATTTGTATGAAGTCTCTTTGGGAATTAAATGGACAGACACTTGGAATTTAGGCAAACATAATTCTTGCTTTACTATCGTAGGCTGAGTACAATTTTTGTGACTCAGAACACCATTTTGCAGTGCCTAGAACTTGTGATAAACTAGTTTTTCATTAATGACAGTAATAAATAATAAATTTGAGATTTCAAGTATGGAAGTCTCAGACTAGTATCTAAAGCCTGTCAAAAGAATTACTGCTAACATCTGAATAAGGCATATGGAATTCTTCAAGGTTTGGCCGACACAGGAAATTGCATAAAGGTGTAATGTTAGACCAGCGTAACCACAACAGCTCAACCTTACTTGCCCGCGTACCTTCCCAGCTTATACTTGGCTTCTATCATATATACAAGCTACACAAGGCCAAGCCAAGCTTAAGGAAACTGCCCATTCAACAAAGTTGAACATGTGTTTCACTGCTAGTCAAGAGACGATAAGGTAGTGAGAAATAACAAGAGGGCAAGAAAAACTCTGGCAGAGTTTGGTGTCTTGCATATGGAGACTAGAACAAGGGACAGTTTCTTATTTTTGTAGTAAAGGGTAAAATGAGAAGCACTTACCAACAAGAACCTGTAAGACTTTAGAGTGGTTAATGCAATGAGCTGCAGAAAGTATAAAATACTCATTCAGAATTGTCCCCGCACAAAACCATTCATCGTTTCCATCTGTTAGAACAGCCTGCCAAGAGAGAGAAGAAAGATAAAGCACAAAAATATATGTACGGAGAAATCCTGAACAGCTAGCTGAGTTTCAAGCAGTTTTCTTAAAGTAGACATTTTCATACGTATTTTCTGTCAAAGGCATCTTTCATTCAGAGGTGGTGAGAGTTACGCTGAGGTGTAGCCACCACAGTGGGAAACTTGTCAAGCCAGACCTTTTTCCTGGCTCAAAGCGGAGTTTGTGCATTCAGTTATTTTACCAACAGGATTTGGTTACTATATTTTTTAAACAAAAATTAGCTCGTATTGTAATAGCGCTGTTCCTGCTTGGGTTTTCTGTTTCACTTTAGTCTCGCCCACAACAGGAACTCAGGCTATTCTTCTGATACTGCCGCGCTGCAACCCGAATGACGGGGTGGCTGGCAGGGAAGCGGCCCTGTCGCCCACCCAGCTCAACGACCCGCGTCCGCAACCCTACATCTCTCCTTGCCTCCCCCTCTCAGCGTTCGCTTCGTGCTGAAACGGAGGCACAACGTCATTCACGGCAGGAGAGCTGTGCGGAAACACAGCACTCAGGAGAGTGGAACGACCACCCAAAATGTTGACATCAGGGAAGTCTGTCTCAAATCAGGCTAGGTCCCCTTGGCAAGTGAGGATGAGGACGATGAAGAGTAAATGGCTGCCGGTCCTGGTGAGCGGGGTCAGGCGTTAAACGTCTCAGGGCAAGGGTGCCTTACCTGCCACGGGGACACGCTGGGTAAACCGCCGGCCTCCCCGGTGACCTCCGGGTGGCTGCTCAGGGCCTCGGTGGTTTCCTCATTTTCAGGATGAGCATTTGGACTTGTTGTGTTTCCTATGTCTTCCTCTCGACTAGCTTCATGATTTCTCTGGAGCCTACCACACGGGAACTTGACTGCAAAGGCAAAACCAAAACACTAACGCTTGATGTCTGGACGGCACTGGGACTTTGAGGCACGTGTCGCATGCTGGGAGCAAGACACTCCTGTCCATAGCACTGTGCAACAGCTGTGGAGGCTCAGCTGCTCTTAGCAGCCTTCACTTTAGCTCTGAGACACCTTTCTTGCTTATTTAAGGCAATATATAGGACGTGGAGGACCATGGTCTTCCATCTCTGTGAGGGACGGTGCCTGTGCTGTCCCTGAGGCACCAAGCCAAGTGACGTTCAACGGACAGTAAGAAGGACAGACGGCTGCTGTTGAAAACAATTTCTGCCACCCAAGTGCCATTCAACAGAGCTTGTCTGACAGAGCCCTTGGGTAACGGACAGTTGCATGGTCAGAAAAGTAAATCTAGCTTTCAGCGTCCCTCGTGTTGGTCTTCATTGCAAGAAATTATTCAAACCTGCCGGACCATGGGTTTTGTAGTCAAAAGAAATGAGAGAAAACTCGCTTAACATGTCAAGGAAAACTCCTTGACAGCAGCCTTTTGCAATCGAATTAATCTAGCTTCCAGCGTCCCTCGTGTTGGTCTTCATCGCAAGAAATTATTCAAACCTGCTGGACCATGGGTTTTGCAGTCGAAAGCAAATGAGAGAAAACTCGCTTAACATGTCAAGGAAAACTCCTTGACAGCAGCCTTTTGCAATCGAATTAGGCAGGCAGGTGTCCTTATCAGGGTTGGCTCTGCTAGATTTTTCAAGACATTAACAAAAGCTTTGCAAATGCAAAAGGGCCAGAATAGTTGAAAAATGAAAATCACGTTCCACTTCTAAAACTTGCCCATTTTGAGCAAGTGGGCAAATGGGTTCAGCATTTTCAAAGTATTTAAAAGTTAAACGTCCTCCATCGTTGGCATCATTATTTCTGCGTACCTGCTGTTATTAGTTCTTTTGTAATTGGGAAACAGAGCAAAGTATTCTATGTAAGGAATTATAAGCTCAGGACAGCAATTTGGTATTAAATGACAATGGGCATTAGAACACATCGTCAGACAGACAGAAGAGTAGACTTAGATTAATAATTGTTAATGTTCACTTTGAATGCAGGCAAAACTGATGGATTTAAATTCAGTGTCGGTAGTTATGTATTTAGGTTATTATATGTTAAAAGCAGAAAACTTGCTTTTAGAAGAAAATAGAAAAGCATGTTGTATTCCTTTTAAATGGAACAGGTGATATTTGGGGGGAAACAAGTGAGATATAACTGCAATCACATCACGTCCCTACCACTGAAATGATAATGAGTCTTTGTGAACTGTCTGTGGTAAAGGGAGAAGTTTCTTGGGCTCCTACCCGTTTGGATCTGTAGGTGTTCAGCACACCCCGGAGGCCTTGAAAAGAGACACCAGTTTTCACCAGTGATAAATCTAACCTGTTCCCTTCTAACAAAATCTCCTGAAGCATGAAAGACCTGTTTCAGTCCCTGAGAGAAGAGGAATCTGAGCCCCGTTGCAATCACCAGTTTCTCACATGGCTTCATACCTGCTGGGACGTGGGTTTTGCTGTCCGCTCTCAGAATGCACCCACTTGCACAGAACGCTTCCGTGAGCTATTTTTGCTACTGCACATCACTCATGGTTGCACAATTTGATGTTACTTAAATTACGACCTTTTGCTAAGATCGTATTAAATTTGTTGGCGACACCTCAAGCAAGCCATGTGCAAGGTGCGAACGGTTAACATTATTCTTTATGCTGCAATGGCACCGCAACGCACCAGCACTTCCCAAACATGGTGACGATGTGACGTGTGTCCCATAGAATGAACTTTGAATGTGGCTTCGTACCTACAGGAACGCAAGTCTTGTTGTCATCGCCCAGGGCATAGCCAGCAGCACAGGAACACACGGCTCCTTCATCTTCAGCTTTGCAAAACTGCTCGCAGTTCCCGTTGTTGACCTTGCATGCATTTGGTGTGACTTCAAAGGAGACAAATATATAGGCAGGTTACAAATTCACGGTGATTTCACAAAAGCACACGCAGCTCATACAATCTCACTTGCAAACATTAGTGACCCCCCCCCCACCACCATTTGGGGAAATTCTGGGCAATTCCTGCTAAAAGCCTTGGTAATAACAACAGTTGTAACTGTCATTATTTTTTACACGGTAAGCTGGCAACATTAGGTACACCAGTATTCTTTCACATCTTTCACATGACTGGCAGCTCTCTGAGGGCAAAGCAAGGGATAACCCGTACTCGCCGGAATAGCCGTCGTACTAAGGCAAAGATGAACTTGGGTGTGGGTAAGAGGCTAAAATTAGCAACAATTGAAGTATCAGTAATAAATGGGGTATTTGACTCTTGCTAGACCCTTGCACTATCACTTTTCCATCTGTACACAGCTCGTGCTACTCACCTTAGCTCAGCCCCTGGCATGGCAAGGCGGCAGGCAGGACGGGAGAGCTCTTCCTGGCACTAACAGTCTGAGGGCAAGGAGGGGTAAACCCGTCCTGGCAGATGCTCTCCAACCTGTTCCTACAGATTCACAGTGAGACACCACAGCTCACCCACGCGGCTTAATCTGCTCCGTAACTAACCTTGTAGCACCTAAAAAGTGTTTCCCAATACCTAACCTGAGTGTCCCTCAGAGCGATGGGATCCCATGACTTCTTGTCCTAGCTGTTCATCCTCATGAAAATGGAGACGACTTCTCGCTTTTGTTACATAGTTCACAAATTTCCTCGGTTGTGTGTTGTCAGACCCAAGGTGAAGTTTTGGGTTTGTGTTCACTGAGCCGCCCCCTGTTTATGTTGGACCACCGTTCCGGTTTCACAAGATTGTCTTGAATGCTCATCTCAACTTACGGTAGTCCTTCCGCTCTGGAAGGAGCTACAAATGCAGTGAGCAACCGCTCTCCTCCCTCTTGCATGCCGTTGTGGAAAATCCCAAGTATCAGAGGTGCGAAGCCCTACACTCCATGTAATTTTCCAACCAGTTAGCACAGTTTCTCAACCAGATGTGCACCTAATTTACGGTAGTTTCATCCAGACCAGTGTTTCTCTTTCAGTTACAAAGAAACCGTTCTATAAAACGATATTAGAAGCCTCCCTTAATGGAGAGCCCTGACAGGTACCGCATCTTCTGCAGCCACCCAGCCTGTGCTCCTGTCCTTGGAGGAGATCTGATGTGTTTTGTTCCTGACTATTGCAACTCAGCAGTTTCTCTCCTCCTTGTTGGGCACAGGCAATTTGGTACCTGAAGGAATAAAGATTTTTCTTCTCCCTTGGGAACAGACTAACGTTCTTGGTCTCTCTTCCAATATCCATATACTTAGATCCACTCTTGATTTTCACATCATGTTTATCTTATTGTATTCGCTCCTTAGCTTTTCTGGTTTTATGCCAGGATGTTTGGAATTCTTTTATACAGACCTAGGTTTTTCTGTACTTCCTTCTGGAGGTCAGGTCATGAAGGAGCTCCTGATTTTAATTAATCCTCCTGTCCTTCCTTGACTTTGGGATAGTTTGGATATGTGCCTTAAACACTTTGGGTTTTTTGAAAGTAGCCTGATCTTTCTCTCTTTTAAAAGATATATATTAATTTTATTGTCTTGTTCTTTTTCTTTACTTCCTTCCTGAGCTTTGTCATTTTACAGCTACTTTTATTAAAGTCATCTTCTGTCTTTGTATTATCAGCCACTTCTAGTCTGTTGATTAAAATCAAGTGTAGATGAGTGCACTCCAAATTGCTTTCTACATGTTTGCATGAGAAAATTTTTCCTTGAAACGTCCTGAAGACTCTCAGGGCACCCCATGTCCCACTCAGTACCTTTCCCACCTCGTCTCTGGGATGTCAAAATCTCCCTCTAACTCCCAGCCCTTGTAATGTGGATGACTCAGGTGTTTGGTTGGTTGTCTCCAACCAGCCCTCTGTAACCACCCGATGACTTTTACAGCAGAAATAAACAACAAGGCACGCATCATGTCCGCAGTGTGATTCACACACTTACTCTGTAGAGAAGCACCTCAGGGTCCAACCTGAAAGACAGGTGGGACGCTTCCTCAAGTGGAGACGTGATGTTTGTGTGCAGACTTAGAGAAGCACAGTGGGTGACGAGGTAGGGTTCTTGTTTTCCTCTGCACTGGTAACACTTGTGGGGTTCATTTTGTCACCCCATAGCTTGTGAATGGATAGTAAGGATTATTGAATTATCACATCTCTTGAGGAAAAGAAGAATAGCAGCACATCATTTGTGCTGCCAGTTTGAAAGCCCTGCATATTGAGATATTTACCCCGTGTCCTACACCAACACAATTGTTTCGTTCCAAACCGGTATTCCCCTAGTGACTCAGCCCTGGATAGTAGTGCATGGCAGCAGACAAAGGGGAGCAAGGCGGGTGAGAAAGCAAAGCCACCAGGTCTTCGTTCACTTCATCCTGGTCCACAAAGCACAAATAATGGCAAATAATTACCTGTGTGGTTTAGACAAAGCAGCACAAAGCCAAGTTAAAGCAAAGGCTGTACCTGTCCGCACCATCTGAAGGACAAGGAGGACAACGGGAAGAAGCCACATTGTCCCGCGATGACCTGCCATTGCCATCCTCCGAGCTCACTCTGCGTCTCCCACTGGTTTCTCTGCAGGGCTCTGGGGCAGCTGCTAAATGAGAACCACCACAGTGCAAAGGTCGTTAACTCATGAGAAAACAAAACCTCTAAGAGCAAAGCCTGGGCTCAACGTCAGCACGGGACAATGTTAAAACAGAAAAAAGCCACTGTGCTGCAGCAATGCCGCCCTGATAGCTTGCAGGTGTCTCCTGTCGGCATGGGCAGCGTGGAGCTGGGTTTGCCACCGCGGCTGTGACACCTGCGTATGGCAGGCTCCTCAGGAAGAGGGGAGTCCATCAACCAGGGCAGGTTCTGCCTCAGTAGAAAAACATGTGCTCGTATGGTTAGACTTGGTTATGCGACCAAAACTCCAGATCCCAGGCTACCACTTGGGGATTTCCTCTGCAGGACCACAGGCTATGGCTATTCCCTTTCTCCCTGTCCGTTGTGGGTGGCTCTACAACTTCAGGAAAAATGGACGATGCCTCCCTAAAAGAGCTTTACCAGCCAGGCAGCAAGAAGCTAGAGTAAGTGAGTGATCTGGCTGTTGCCCATGCCCCAGGGAAGGCAGAACAACCACAGCCAGAGCTTTCTGCCTCCCACAAGCTGGGCAGAAGCAGGAAAGCATCTCGGAAGTGAGGACCAGCTCCGGGCACCAAACCTGCAGAGCTCAGTAAGCGTATTGTGAAGGTGCTGCCTCCCAGCTCCGGCAGTGCCTTAGGAAGCAAGGAAAGCAGGGAATTAATCAGAACAAGAAAAAACCAAGAGGGGAAAAATCAGGCTTTTTTCTGGGTTAGGTCAATAAGGTATTGCACAAGGTTTTGGTCTCTTTTATTCCAAGCTGCTGTAGTTTGCAGTGCTTTAGGTAGGGTGAAATTGGTTGTGGTGCTCACAGGTGAAGCCTTTGAATCCAGCAGAGCTGGTAAGCAGGTATCTCGTAAGGATGCAGCAGGCTGGATGGGACCTCTGGGACACAGAGAATCCAGTCTCTGTCACGAGCACCAGGCCAGACCATACTTTCACAAAATCATCAATTTCCACCTTACTCTGGATGGATTTTTTTTTTTATTTTATTTTTTTTTGGCTCACACCACTCCATGGGGACAGCTGTTGGCAGGGCTTTGAGGTCTGAGGTCCTGCCTATGGGAGAGAATCCTGTCAGGTGAGTCACCTCTGTCAGGGAGTGGTGAAGAGGAAGGAAAAACCTTGCTTGTTGTTCCTGTGCTAGCACAGGTCACCAAAGCATGACCGTAACAGTGACCCTTTGCTTGTGTTGCTCACCTGGAAACACAGAAAACAGGGGCTGGCAAGACCTCCAGGATCACCCAGCCCAGCTTACGGAGCCAACAAGGGATCGAGTTTAGCTCTATTATTCTTGCATTGTTGGCCAAGGCTCCAGCGAAGGAGCCTTCTGGGAAATTGCTTCGTCGGCAATACCAACGTCGGAGACGTCACTGCCCTCCAGACAAAAAGTTATTAGAGGGCTTTTGTAGTCACAGTGTTAGAAGGTTTTTCCCTGGGATCTCCCTGAAACTTTCTTGCTGCAACTGAGGTGTTCTGTGTCTTTTTATCTTCCCCACAGACATGACGATCTGATTACTCCCTACGTCTCTGCAGCAGCCTTTTGCACACATGAAGGCTATTGCTATGTTTCTCCTCAGGCTTTCTCTATTTTAGTTTAAAGGAACCTCATTTTTTTCAAAGCCCAGTGCTTCATGCACAAGAATCTCTTGCCCAGATACGTCATCTATCATCACATCCTATCAGTCCTTTTCAAAGCCTCAAAGTGATTGCACTCTACTTACCATCCTTTCTTTCTTCTCAGGACTGGCTTTTCCTTGAAGGCTGAGGAAGCCTGAGCACTAGAGGGTAGCTTAGAGCATCTCCTTCCACCATCCTTGGCAAATATCAACTCTTGCCTAAACCATCAGCGTTTGCTTGCCGTGAGGAGCTCTGGTATTTTAAAATCCATCAGTTTACTCACCAGCTGTGTGCTGTACCTCTTTCCTGGATTTTACAATCTGTTTGAGTATTGCAATGTGAAAGTACCCCCCAAATAATGAGTCTACATAAAAAAAGCATGCTTTAATTCTTTCTCTTCTTGCAGGCCCTAGAGTTGGTTATGGGCTTTGGTAGGATGCCAAGATGCAAGCAGGTGTTTCACTCATCCATGGAGGTAGTCAAAAAATGTTTAGATGTGGCACTTCAAGACATGGTTTAGTGGGCATGGTGGCATTGAGTATACGGTTGGACTTGATGATCTTTGAGGTCTCTTCCAACCATAAAGATTCTATGATTCTATGATTCATATCCTTTCAGCGTGGCAGAGACACTGCGACAGAACGAGGAATCAATATGAAGCCCTTGAGCCTTGGGCACCATAGGCACCATGGCACAGGATGAAAGGCTCTCCAGGAACCCATTTCAGTGGTGAAAGACAAATAAACACTGATTGCAAAGCCCAAGGACAAAGGCTCTCATATTCTGCAGAATAATGACACTTCTTTTCTAAGCACAGGCATGTCGCACACAAACATGGACTTTTATCACCCTTTTGCATGCTCACCCATTAAACCAGCCCTGTGCCTGCTCTCAGGGTGCTACTCGGCTTGACAAGGACGTGTATACACACACCAGCCAGTAAAACCCAGCCACGGCCACCGTTGCCAGAGGGAGGGCCTCCCCGCAGCTGCCTCAACCTTACACAGTCCAGTCGGAGGTTCATGTCAGTCCTCAAGCTTCACTGAAGTAGAAGAATGCCCTTAGCACAAGTACGTAACGAGGAGTTAGGTAGCACCTAGGCCTGAGGTTGTCCCTTTGAAGAGGATGATGGAGCACAGGGCAGGCTACCAGTGGGACAAGGGATTCAAACAGGAATCCAGTGGACAGAAGAACTCAGGGAACAAACATTGCTGAACAAACAAACATTGAAGTGAGCCTGTGGAGGGTTTATACAGGTGGGGACCATGAAGCTGGGGTGACTGACCTGCAGTCCTTCCTGCCCTCAGTTACTGCTGACGGCAGCAATACCTTGCTGCTGTGCAGAGCTGCACTTCTAGTCTGTCAGCCGCGTTTGCTCACAGCACCCGCCGTACAGAACCAACCCGGACCAGCTCAGACCCTAAGGGATAAAGTCGCAGCTGCCTGGTGAAGTTCCGTGTACCTCAGACACCAGGGGAGCACAACAGATCGCAGAACCCTTGGAAAGGCACCCAGGGGCCTAGAGCACATGATGGGCAGTCACAGGCTGAGGGGTCTGGGCTTGCTCAGCCAGGGAGAGCTGGGGGATCTAACCGCAGTCTTCCACCGCCTACATGGGGATGACAGTGAAGATGAGGCCAACTGTTTCCCAGCGGTGCCCACAGAAAGAAGATGAGGCAGTAGTCAGAGGTGGCAAGAAGGAAAATTCCAACTGGACATGAGGAATTTTAGCCATGAGAGTGCTAAAGTGTGGGAATAGGTTGCCCAGAGGGTAACAAAATCTCTGCCTCTGAAGTTTTTCAAAACTTGACTGGACTTGCACAGCCTGTTCTAACTTTGATGTTAGACCTGCTTTGAGCACGGGGTTGGACCAGATCACTTTCTTCTGTCCCTTCCGTGTAAATTCTTCCATGACTTCTGTAGCTAGGACTGAAGCTGAGAAGGTTTAGAGAACAATATGTGGAGAAACACTACTCCACACACAAAAAACCCATCAGGGTGCAGAGCTTCTGCCTGGAAACCTAACAGCACAGATCAGATCACAGTGCCTGAACAGACCACGTGTGGGAAATCACTGGTTGAGCTTGCCCCTTTCTAAGAAAATTAGTATCTTGGCATCTAACTTGCCATTTATGAACCTCTAGGCCAGTGAAAGTCTTTTAATTAACCCCCTCCGTTCTCTACCTCCTCATCAGCCTTGACATAAGGCAGGTGAAATGTGTCACATGTATTTGTTTAGGGACAGTCACTCTTTTTTCACTCTCAAATGAGATTTTGTCTTCATATATTTCTAAGCTGACTGGAGGGAATAAATAAAATTTAAAAAGAACAAAAAAGAAAGAATATTTTATTTCAAATGCTGGTGTACATCAATATTGCACCTTACAGAAACACCTAGAACAATACACATGCAAGGAGCTTTTTGATTCTCAGCCATACACAATCCAGAACATGATACAGAAAACAGTGAACACGAACATATTGGTTTTTTTCTAATGAGCAGAACAGAAGTGATCAAATTGAACTAAAGTGAAGTGCAATCCATATAAAGCAAAACCCCATTTTCATTAGCTGCTGTGACCTAAGCAGGTGATGTTCTGGAACATGTCATTATTTAGCATCCCATGTTGAATACTTACTTGTGTCTCAGCTTTTACCAAGCAAGCTTCCCTGCTCCCTTAATCTTCTAAACACATCCAAAGGTAGAAGCTGAACAGCTCTAGTAACAACAAATTCCCTACTGAGCCAGCTGGCTCCAAAATGAAGATTAACTGAAGTCCTGTCCTTCCCACTTCCACCATGATTAGTGGAGGGCCATAATAAGTTCAGGAGCCTCTGGTGGAAGCACCTGGATGAACAGACAGGAACCAAAATGGCAATATAAAAATAACTAAACAAGCAAACAAAAGACCCCACTGAGCAGCCATTTTGTTTGGGGAAAGCCCCTCATTGTACAAATTCAAAACAACACCAGCAGTCCGCATATACATGCTTTAAAGCCAGGAATAAAACAAAAAGAAGCAGCACCATAACTTTAAGTAATCAGCTCTCAAAACAAGTTTAGCAGATGTGGCTAAAAAAAAAAAAAAGAATAAAGTTTCCATTAGAGAAACTGCACCTTGTTAGCTAACAGGAGGATCAAGAGCCACACCACTACAAAGTTTGTCTCATGACCGTTCTTACCCAGCGTAAGAACCTGGACAGTTTGGTGTAGACACCGTATTTGCCTTTCTTTGCACATCCTTCTCCCCAGCTAACAATTCCAGTAACAAAATAAGTATCTTTGTATCTGGTTACATGGGGGCCTCCACTGTCTCCTTGACAAGCATCTTTTTGCTCTGTTTCATAACCAGCACAGAACATGTTTTCGGTTATCGCAAAGTTGGTGGATTGCTTGCAAGTGTTCCTATCGACATAGGGTACTTCCAGCACTTTCAGTTTTTTGGATAGTCGTCCACCTTCAAATTCACGCCCGAAGCCACTAACCATCCCAGATCTTTGGTTCATCAGAACTTCATTAGCAAAGTCTGCTTCCGGGAGGCATGCTGCGATAACATACTCCGAAAACGTTATAGGTTCCTTCAGCTTTATTAAGGCTATGTCATTATCATAAGTCTCAGCAATGTATTTAGAGTGAACAAGTATTTTGTCCACAGTATGCATCGTTTCAGACTGTTCTTCCTTTTCTCTGTCCACTTCACCTGTACAAGATTATTAAAAGAGTCATAATATGGAGATAGTATAAGAAATTAAGAACAACTTTGACAAAGTAAGAGCGTAGTATACCCATTCCTAACACTTTGCCTAAGCCTTTACACCATACAAGTAAACAGTCAAAACGTATTGCTATATTTGCTAGCAGCACCTGGATCAGTTTCAGTCCTGAGCTTTTGTCTATGGAGATTTTTGTACCAGTTTACATAAAGTCATAAACGGCTTCAGCTAAACTAATGCAACTTTGGGTTGAAGCTCTTACAGGGGCTTGAGCCTGGCTTATATCAGCAAAGAGAAACTGGTCTGGGTCAAGACTAAAACAGTGCAAATAAAAAGCTGATCTAGTATCATGCTTCAGAAATGAAGCAGTCATCATTTGAGTTTCTTTCCTCTTCCTCTAGTCAATGTGTCACAGCTTTCCTGAGTGTTCCTGCAGGAACAGATCTGTATGCTTCAGACGTGCCAGGAATGATCCACTCTCTGAAGAAGCACTACCCTGAGGAACACAATGCTAGCCAACACTTCTAGAACATTTGTTCTTGATCACTGCCAACTAGCTGGCAAAGAAGAAAGGGAGGCACCATTATCACCTTCCACATCAGCTGCCCCTGTTGTTACAAAGCAGGATTCCCACAATAACAAGAAATAATAAAAAGCAGAACAATAGCAAAAAAGTAACAAACCATAATGAATAAAGGAATAAGAGCACATCTCACACGAGATGTGGAGCACAGAGGATTAGTCTGCAACACATGCTCAAACATCACAGAAGTGAAATAAATAACCGCTTACCAACAACAACTTTGATTTCTTTAGATTGGTTCATGCAATGAGCTGCAGTAAGTACAAAATTCTCATTCAAAATAGTTCCACCGCAAAATTCTTCTCCTTCCTCGTTTAACAGAACAGCCTGTGAAAGAAAAAGGGTAAGGGCAGAATTAAGAAGAGTGGTTTAATGTCAATGAGCTACAAACAGGTAGTTGATTTCTCTGCAGACTACATATATGCTTATTACTGCAACATGTACTACCCCGCAGGTCTCCCCTACTATCGCAGTCGCACACGCATATGCTACAGATCAGCACGTACTGCTACAGAGTCTCAATTGTCTTTAGGTGAAGTAGATGTTTGGCGTCCACATTACCTCCCTCACAGTGCTCAGTAATGCCTTCTAGGAATACAAGACGCTGACGGACTGAGCCGGGAAAGTGCAGCCCCTAAACGACCCCATCCTTTGGACTTATCGCCCCAAAGAATTCCTGTCCAAGTTCTGTTCCCGTTTGACCCCCCGTTCTGTGTCCCAAATACAGGAACTCATTTTGGCTGGTCCAAACTCCACAGGAAAACTTAGATATGAAAGCGTATTTGTGAAGCAAATGCATGCTTTATCTGACATGCTTTCAGGTATACTACCTACACGGACCGCGACCAGACAGAACTGGAATATAAGCTGCAAAAATGACACTGGTAGGCCAGCATGACTCAAAAGCCCTCTCTGATGACAGGTTAAGCAGCACCATCTAAAATTGCACAAAGCCTTTCATTTTGACATTTTAAGGCTGCAGTTTGCAGAACAGCACATCTAAGTGCCTGGGTTCACGCACTTCAGCTACCTCCAGCGACAAATGGCATACTACACGGGTAACATTCAGAAGGTAACCTGGTTAAATGAACAACTGCACACTTTTCCACAGAAACATGTTCTGCTTAGGCACAGAGCACAAACACCAGATTTACCTGCCATGGACATTCGCCAAGAAGACACTCATCACCACCTACTATCCTGGTATTGACATACGGAGTCTTGCTACTTGTTCCATTGCCAGGACGGAGGGTTGGGCTTTCTGTGGTAGTAACAATGTCCTCCTCCAAACTTGTTCCATTTGTGGGAGGGCCATCTTGATCACTAGTTACATCGCTATTCTTAGAGGGTAAAATAACTGACCTTTTTTGTCTCTTCACAAAAACTTTTCCACAAGGATATTTTACTGTAAAGATAAGAATGTGAAAATGAGAGACGGACAGAAACACCAGCCCAAGAGGAAACTCCTTGACAACACCATCTCACAATATATTGATTAATGCAGCAGTCCTGTTTTCAAAACACTAGCAAAACCTGGGCAGAGGCAACAAAGGAGGGAGACCAGATGGTTTGAAAAAACAAAGCCATTTTGTAGTCCTAAAACTCGTCCATAGGTTCAGTCTCTGGACAGTGTTTTCAAAGTATTTTAAATTTAAAACATCACCTTCAACTGTTTACATTGCTCTGTGCATGTACTTGCTCTTACTAAAATGATCTGAATCAGGAAACTGAGTGAAGTGTTTTATTTTAGGCATAATATGGCTCATGACAGCAATTTATTATTAGTTATAAAGGATATAAAAACTGACATCATGACTATGTGGTTGACTTATCCCTCCCCGCCCCCGGTTTGTTAAGTACAACAAAAATGTACAAATGTAAATATCATTAATCATAATTATTTAATGTCATCAGTCACTATTTGATTAGGTTAACTGAAATCTAAAGTAGAAAAGTTTTTGTGAGCTGCTATTTTATATGGTGTGTAAGTGTTTAAGGAAATGAGATATAACTGCAATCACTCTTCTGTCAACAGCAGAATTTACACAGGTAATTCCGAGAGGCACCTTGCAAAGGGTTCCAAATCAGCCAGATTTTGATAAGTCCATTGCATCACCTCCCAAATGGAAGGCTTCAGAAATACAGATCAGTTGGCCTCAGTGTTAAATCTATGCCATGTAAAACACTGATGGTTCAAAAGACATTCTTTAACTGTGAAACAAATCTCACCATCATTGCTGTTAGTTTATTATGTGGCTTCATACCTGTTGAAACACAGCGTTTGCCATCCTCTGCTAGAACATACCCTTTTGCACAGGAACACAAAACATCCTTCTGTACACTTTTTTTGATGCTGCAGAACTGCTCACAGTCACCATTGTTTATTTTGCAGTACTTTGGTATGACTATAAAAGAGATGTTTGGAGAAAAAGTGTAAATAAACAGTGACTTCACAGAAAATCTCAAAGTTCACCAAATTAAACCGCACTCTTTAAACAGGATCTGTAACTCCATCTGTAAAACACCTGAAGCACATCTTAGTAAGAACATGAGTGGCTAACATCAGCTTATGCCTGTCAAAGCAGTCACATTCACCGCATGAAACACACTTGCCAAGCCCAAGCGGGCCCAGTGGCCATGTCATCATGAGCTTAAACAACAGAGACAAAATGACAGTGGAAGAATGAATAAAACACTAACAGAGAAGTCCAGATATTGGTCAACCCCCACAGGATTCCTTCCTCCTGCCTTAAAAAACCCAAGTCCTCATCACTCCCCTTGGTCCTGTGTCTGAACTTCAGTTCCATCCCCTCCACTCTTACTTCTGGGCTATCGATACACGCTCCGGTGACACCATTAGAGTAGTAGCTGTATGCCACAGAAGTGAGACTCGGGAAGGATTTATATGCAAAAAATGATTCCTTGCAAAGCTGAAAAAGTCTCTGCATTGTCTACTGAGATCTGCTTTCTTTGGTTCTTACTGCTGTGAGCTGAGCAGGGAGGCTGGAATAAAGGCTCTTCAATATCAGTTATAAGAATCCTATGCTTCTTCATTTTATCATTGTGTTTTGGGGATCCAAGCTCATGTAAAGAGGTGCTGTCATAATTAAGAGGGCTTTCTTTGGAGCAAGTGTAACTTTGGAGCATTCACTAACACTATCCAGCTGCAGAGTCACCAAGTCGTTGCGTTTCTGGCACTGTCCTCCAACTCATTGTTGGCTGCCATCCTGTTCTGTGCATTTTTCCAAGAGGCAAATAATGCTGGTTAAGAAAGAGTTAACTCTCTCTGTTTCAGCTCCCTGGGAAATTCACTGCCACAGTTCTCTAAAGCAGAAACCTACCAAATTCACAGTTCTTGCCTTGATAACCATCCAAGCATGAGCAAGTGTAGGAACCAATTCCATCTTTACAATGTCCACCATAGTGACAAGGATTTGAGCTGCACTGGTTCCCGTCTACAAAAACAAACAAACAAACAAACAAATTACTGTAGGAGTCTAAGCATTGGCAGTGAACTCTGAAGGAGTGTTAGTGTTAATAAGCAACCTTTCATCCTTCCTTTCAAAACGTATATCCCGTGAGTTGCCACATTCCAGATGGAACAAGCAGCATAAATGCAATCATTCCAAACCAGGAATGATTCATACACATATCCCGAGTTTTGCAATCTGTTTTTGGTGGCTACTGCATGGCAGCATGTACGCAAGCCTTTTGTTGTAGGAAGTAATACATCATGGTCAGAGTATACATCATTTACAGTGAAGGCTGTAAAATCAGACAGGACATTTCTACGTTGCAACTACTATCTAAAGATATTAACCTTCTGGCCTCTTGCATTCCCCTACAATTTCTGCATAATAATGACAACTCAACTTTTATTTCTCTAAGGGTCATCTCATCCCTTGTGAGTGTCTTCTGCCTGCAGCGCTGTAGCAGCCCTTTCTCCCACTCCCACAAAGGTCTCTCCCATCTAGGGATCTGCTGTAACAAACGTGTTCCTCCATCACATCACCCTGCTGGGCTCTTCTGCACTGGTCGATAAGAAAAGCAGGATATCCGGAGAAGTGACACTTGCCTAACAATTTGTTGCTTTAGATAACACACTCTTCAAATTCCTGTATTTTACAACCTATTCTGCCCCTGGTTGGAAGAACAGCACTGCCCACAGAGGAGACAAGATGCAAGAAGTTGCTCATCCTAAGGATCCAGCTTGACACCTGCACGGTGGCTCTGGCCCGTGACCTCATCTGCTGCAGATTTATCTGCCACAGGGAACATCTGCTGGGGCTTTGTGTCCTGCCCCCACACCTCAACAGCCCTTCCGTACCTGCACCTGACCAAACCAACAGCGCTTCAAATGCTGCATCTACACGGTCCACCACAGAGGTGCTGAGGACTGATGTCCATCCTCAACAGAGGGAAGACGAGACCGCCATGTACCAAAAGAAAGACAGACTCGAGGCCTGCAGCACAGCTCCTGCTTTCTGCCTCCTCTGCAGTGCCAGCGCACTCCATTCCGTAGTGGCCTTAGCTAAGCAGCATCCCATGGTTAGAAACCGCACTTGTTTAGTTTTTCCCTACACTGCAGTTGCCGCTGTGGTAATGAGTGTTGTACTAATATTGCACAAAAGCATTGCAGAATCCCCTGCTAAAAAAGGAAGCAAGAAGGAATTGTTCTGGTAGCTTGCCAGAGGGTAGCTGTGGTTTTCAATACTTCTGAACACCAATAAAGCATTCGTGGGCTGTGGCTTAAAATGTATGAAACTGGCATTTCTGCTGAGAGCGCTGGCACTGATGTTCCACTGTTTGTATTCTCATGATAAAATGCTTTGAAATGTTCCACTCCTGTTCACTGCAACACTGATGCAGGCTTTGCTTGAAATTTCAGCCTGTAGGTTGCAGAGTTCATCCCCTGCTTAGAGGATTGTGAAAGTCTGCATCTTCTTTGTGGCAACTGTCTTCAATTTTCCGCAGACTCCAAAAGACAAAGCTAAGTTGCCTTTGGTCAACATTTTTGAGGTACTCTTCCTAACACGCAAGATGGACACATACTTTCAGGAGAGCACATTACCAAACACTAATACACTAAAAATCTGTCCCTGCACAGTGATTATGAACACTAGGACCCTAACAAATACAACTCAGACCTTTAGAAAAAAAAACAGAAAAGATTGATGGGTCACATCTGCTAATCTACTGGCATGTCTTCCTTGAATGCCAAACAGTTCTGTAGAAAACACATCCCCTCAAAATGCTCTGTAATACAGGAATCAACACTCTGGCATGGGAGGTGACATGAAACGGGCAGGTGGCTGTGCAATACAGCTTAATAACTTTGTGTTGGCTACGGCATTTAAGCGACACCCTCATCTATGACTCTTTGCATCCCCCCTCCGGGGCTGCCTCTCTGAAGGACAATGGACAGGCAGAGTCACAAGCCCAGTTTCTCCTTCTCCCTCTCCTTTGCGTGCAAAGGACCACTATTCTTTTTTTGAGAGGACAAAGATCATCCCAGCAATTTGGGGCAGCTGAACCTTGCCTTCGAATGAAACGACTGGGCTCAAGCAACGGCAAGGCAGTCAATCAGAGTCTTTCTTCGGAGGAAACACAAAGTGAGGGTGTCCCACGGTGAAAAGAGAGGAAGCAAGGGAGCAGGAAGCGGTTACTTAAGAGGTGCCTCCTTTTTAACCTTGCAATAAAGCAGCTTAATTCTCTAAACAAATGCAGAGTGTTTCTTACCCACATAGACGTTCCAGAATTCCTCCTACAGGTAGGTGTGGGAAACGGGGAATAAAAAAGAGACAGAAGGAGTTAAATGAGAATTACCGAATTCTTAGAAAAATACTAGAGCTTTCATACAAAGGATACTTACAGCTTACAATTGTTAAAACAAATATTTAAGTTACAGGCATATACAGTGCCCTGCAGCCTGCTATTACCATTTAATAAATTCAAACCATATGATCCATCTATAGTGCCCAGCTCTACAGAAACAAGTCTCATGCATTTTTCAGAAATATCTAAAACTCCTTAGAGATTTCCCAGTGTGACTCACTCAGCATAAAGCATTTGATTTCTTGCATAATTGTATCTTTCCGTTAGTTTTGACTGAATTTACTTACATTCCTGTAATGCCAAACTCTCAGCCTCCATCCTCCCCTGTACTCCCATCAATGAGGACCTCAGAAATCCTGAGATTTAAAAATATTGTGTCCAATTTATGTTCTTCTTTCCCCCTGCACTGAGGACTCCAGGTATGCTATCTGTCCAAGACAATCCTTTTCAGCGGCATCTGCTCACCAGGCAGCACAGGCTGTGCTGGTTCTGCTACAGACGAGCCAACCTTTATGCTCTGAAGTACCCTGGCGATGCACCCGTGAACTCCCCACCCAGGCCATCTCAAGGCCACTCCAAGAACATTCTGGCCATCAAGCAATGCTCAAGTGAAATGAATCTGGCCTTAACTCCAGTTTCAGGGCTGTTCTTAACAGCCACATAGCTACAGCTGATGTTCCCAATTCCCCTCCTTCACCAAGTCACTTCAAGTTTCTAAATATCACCTCTTTTACTGACCCCAGTCCCCCATAGCTGCCCCATCTAATTCTCCCTTGAGCCTGGGAACAGTTCGCATTCCTGTCTAAAGTTAAGCAGCCATCAGCGTAGGGCAGGTGACACAAGAGTCACATGTACAAACTTCATTCCATGCGGGCAATTTAACGTTAAGGCACATAAGAACTGTCCACCATATACATTCTGTCAATTTAGATACTGAGAAAGAGACCCACAAAATGGTAAGTGCTGCAAAGCTGCTTGATGTAAGTTCGACAAAATTCTCAATGAAGTTCCATGTCAGCTTTTGCCTTCTCAACCTTCCTGTGGACTCTCCACCTAAGGACTTGACGAAATTCATTGCCTCAGCTACGTCACCCAGATAGGGTGAACACATTTCCAACATATCAAAGCATTTAAAGGTCAAATACCTCACAATGGCAATTAAACAGATCAGAACAGGTACAAGAATGGAGGCTTTAACACGGGCTGGCCTCGCAAGAGCTAAATGAAGACTGTTATTGTACGTTTATGCCTTAGCAATTCCAACCACAGTCAAAACCACTATTTATTCGTGTCAAGTGACTAGGAGCAACTTGTGAGTTTTGATGCCCAGCTCAAAAGACCTTAATACTATTTTGTAAACATGAAATACATAGATCTATGTTTCATATTAGTTCATCCTTACAGTTTTCTCCTGGTCTTCAAAGGCTTCTCTTGCTTCTTCCTTCGAGCAACGCTCCTCATTGCATTCTCTTTCAATATTCCCTTTCTTCAATTCCTCCCAAAAAGAGTTAGCACGTTTTGTTCTTTGCAAGAACTTGTCGGCATTTTCTTTCTCGATGAATACTAGAGAACAGAGAAAATGGTACAGGTGGCAGGTAACATTTGGTGGTGGTAAAGAGTCATTAGAAATATGCAAAGTAGAAACAAAACTACAACAGACCCTTTCACCACTCTACCCCTACACAACGTTCCCTGGGAGGTTAGTCCTCACACAGAACTGATACATCTTAGGATCGCTCAGAGCAGTCTCTCTCTGAGAATCAGCAACTCCAGGACAAACCGCAGGCCACCAAAATTCTCTCCTACTGTTTTTAGTCTTGAAAATAAGAACATGCAGGTTGCCGCTGTGGGCTTATATTTCTGTTGCTCCTGCTCAAGAGTCCAATCTTGAAGAGAACGGCTTTCCCTGAAGACTAGGGAGACTCCATCCCTTGGCTTGGTTTTAAAGCTGATCACCAGGCACCACCACCGCCTGCTCCAGGGGCTTGTGGTTCAGAAACCAAATGCCACACGAACTCAAGATGCAGTAATGTATCTACTGACAGACGGGAAAAGCCTGTGTATGAGTTCTACTGCCCTTCACCATCCCAAATCCCACTGCGCTGCCCTGCGGTCTTCCTTCCCTCTTAACAGCACCTCCCAATCACCTGTAGAAATGTTCCTGCCTTGCTGATATGTGCGCAGGTAGCACTAAGGCAGCTGCCTTCTACGATTTAACAAAGAGCAGAAGTAAGCGAACGTCAGCTTTAGCAGGGAAGTACAGCCTGAGGTCAGTTTGCTGGGTTGGTTTATTTTTTAAAAGCTTGGTGTCACAAAAGCCGAAGGCCTGCTTCTTTCAAGTTCAAGATGCAGGTAGCTGTAGATTTAAACTGAAGGATCAGAGGCATTAAAACTCAGCCCAGACACTTGGCCGCGTGAACAACAGCATTACTCTCCAGTGACTTGTGCACACATCACCAGACAGGAAAAAAAGAAACAACACTGGAGTAAATAAATTGCCAATTACCCTGTAAAAAGCACATATTCTAGGAAAGTTTGCAGAGTTTGGAAGCTGGCATTCAATTATGTTCTAAACACTGGGAATTTAAAGACAGAAAATACTTTCCCATGACAGACCGGAGCGTGGAAGACAGTGCTGTGGATGGGACCCCAAGGCCAATGGCTTACGCTCGGTGGGCAGCTTGCACGTACCTTCTGGAGCATTCCTCATACAGCTCAATTCAGCAATAAAGAAACCTGCTGATAGTAATCATCCACCCTAATACCCTCTAAGTGAACACAGAGGGGACCTACTCTGCTTTCACTGAAATTGGTGGATCAGCCACAGGGAGCCAAATTCTGCTCCTGTTATTTATATTAAGCAATCCCATAGAGCCCACGCGTAATCTGAAGCCCCACGTCTTCTGAAAAGGCTCTTCACAAGGAAGGCTTCCAGAAAGTGCTTGTAACTTGTAGCTCAGCAACTGTTAGTTCATTCACCCACTCTCTTATTTGCCCTTAAATCCCCCTCTGCGGTGACAGAAAGTGACAGGACACAGCTGGTGGGGTTAGCGCCTCTATATTCCTTTGCTTCCACACCACCCGCACAAGCGGATGTTTCCGTACACTTGAATGAGCCGATCAGTCTTTGGAGGCTGGTTGTTCTCCTTCCCAAGCCTTCCTCAGGCTTCCTTCTTCGGAGCCATCAAGGAGCAACAGGCGTTGGTCAACTGAAGTAGGACATTCCAGAAACGTGCGGAAGACCTCGTTTCAAAGCCTAAGCGCGCTGACTCACCGAAGGACGAGTTAACGACTTTTGAAAAGCCACTTGCTGATGCTGCTCTGGACTTTGGTGTTGACGGCACAAACAGAGGGCGGCGGGAC